GCCTGAGTGTCTTTGATGCCCTCTCCATCCCACTCTCTCTACCAAGGAGACCCCCAGTTAGTGGCTTTAAAAACTATGCTTAAGCTGAAGATTCATAAATTCCCATCTCCATCTCCCCTGCGCCCAACAGTGGTTTAAATCACCATCTCTCATCCAATACTCACATTTCTCTCCACAGGCCCTTTGAACTTGCTGGTTTGTTCCTTCTGCCTGGACTCTTCTCTCCAAAACATCACATGCATGACTCCTTCTCGTCATTCACCCCTTATTCTAAATATCACTTTCTGATCTCATGCATGGCACTTAGTACTAGCTAGTATTATTCGCTTATTTGTTAACTGTGTCACCTAACTGAAATAAAAAATCCATGCGGGCAGGAGCTTTGTGCTCTACTGTATTTCCAGTCTAGAACAGCCTCCTAACTAGAACCCCAGCTTTAGTTCTTGCCCCTTTCCAATTCTTTCTCCACAAGGAATCATCTACTTCCCCCCTCCCCCCAAAACACACACTTAAAGCTCTTTCATGGATTCCCATTTCATTTTATAGTAAAAATCCCAAGCCCTCACATGAGCAGAAGACCCTGCCTGTGCCACCAGTCGCTGCCTACCTCTCCAATTCATGCCACACTCCTTCCCTCACTCACCACTCAACTAGGCTTCAAGCCATGGTACCCTTTCACTTGTTCAAGCATACAAGCTCCTTCCTGCTTCAGGGTCTCTGCACTTGTTCTCCCTGCTCTCTGTCGTCCTTCAGGTCTCAACTCAAATACTGCCTATTTAGAGTCGTCGTCCTCAGTCACACACACTCTCTCATTGCCCTTTTAGTTTGCTTCACATAACTATCTTCATCTGTAATTACATTTATTGTTCACAGTCTAAGGGCAGAAACCTCATCTGTCTTCACTTGTTTACCCGCATCACCTAGTACACTGCCACTTCACAGTAGACACCCACACGCTTTGTGGAACGAACAAACTGAGGCCAAAGAACATCCAGTATTTTATTAATACAGCCAATGAAGCAAGTACTAGTTATCTCTCCTTAGGACCCAAAGCATTTTATCAATATTTATAGCGACATAAAGTGACCATGAAAAAAAAAGTCCTTTATCGAAAGCAAAGGGTAGCTAACCTTTTTAAGTCTGTCTCCCCAACCTGTATGAAAGAGATAATGTTGTAAGGTAATTGCAGGGCTGAGAAGTAACATTCATAAAATGCCTGACCTATATTAAGTGTTCCATAAACAGCACATTAAAATAAATTACTATTAAATTACCAGTTAGGATTCTAAAAGGGCAACAGCCTAGATGTTTAACAGTGATGACTGGCTGGAAAGCCCAACGTCCCTCTCTCTCTGTTCACCCAGAGCCTGAGTTTCCTACCAAAGGACTAGGTTGGGTGGGGGCTCTGGCACAGCTGATCGCATCACCCACACTATACACAATCAATCATTATCCTGAGAACTCACCTGAAATTTAAAATCATTCTCAACTTTGAAGGTTGCTTACTGTAAAAAATAAGTTAGTCTGGAAAGAAACTTGAACACCCTTGAAACTGTTTAATTCAAAACAGAATCTCAGAATCACAATTGGAATTTTCCAGTAAAACTGCCTGTGGTGTCTACCTCAGAAGGGGAAGATTTACAAGGCTGTTGACAACACAATGAGCATCAAACAGGGCAACAGTTGCATTTGTAAGTAAGCAACCCACAGAGTGAACCATATTACAGACTGGTCTCACTTGCTGGGTGTGGGACAAGAAGCTTGCTCTCTGTGATATTGTGATTATTTCTGAGCTATTTATTTAAGAATAAAGAATTCAGAACACCTAAGTCATAGAGGTGACAAGTATATTGCAGAACTCTAGAACCCAAGGCCTGAGTGAGATCAACAGCCCTGCTGAAGTGGTACATGGGCTGCATAAACAAGGGGTACTTCACAAGGCTAGAACACAGCAGAGGAAACAGTCCCGAAAGGCTCTAAAACCTAATAGACATTTTCCAGGGCAGTCCTTTGGATGTGGGTAATGGATAATGCATATTTCCTAGATAAGAATTTCATTTCAGGGCTAAATATTTAGAAAACAGAACAGTCTAAAAAAAAGTTCCCAAATAAACGTTTTACTTTAGTTTTAGACTCCGTCAGACCTGACCTTAAATCCTGGTTCTAACAGAGTAGCTGAATGAGCTTGAGAAAGTTGCCTCTCTGAGCTTCAGTGTAACAGGAATGAACATACGTCCACTTCACAGGCTGGAGACAGAGCAGGTGCTCAGTATAAAGTCGAGTATATCTTTACTGGTCAAGGCATGAGGCAAGTACTAGGCAAGTTACCAGGCTCTCAATCTTAACAGAAAGAGCAGAAGGCAGTACTGTACATCCAGTAAATGGTAGGCATTATCATAAGGCATGGGACTAGTAATGTTAAGCCTTCAGTCTATTCACACTGACATGATAAAGATTTCAAAGACACTAGAGTTTGGGCTCAGAGTCCTCTCCCCACTTCCCAAGTAATACTTTAATAAAAATAGTCAAAGCTATAGAAACTTTAGGTGAGAGAGAGAACCTGCTGTGTTGTTACTTCAGGCAGCAGATACAAGGAAAATTGAGGGAGTTATTCAGACTCGGGGGTCCTGAAATCCCTTCTTGGATGATCCCAGAAAATTTTATGTTTTAGAGAAAAGTAAAAACACTACAAAACACCTAACATGTGCCAAGTGAGTTGTTATGTTTGTATCTATTGTTTCATTTAATACAATAATCCTGCCCTGGCCAGTTTGCTCAGTGGTTAGTGTTAGCCAGTGGACAGAAGGGGTTGCAGCTTCAATCCCCAGCTCTGGTCAGGGTCTTGAGGGAGGCAATCAATCGATGTGTCTCTCTCACATCGATATCCCCCCCCCCCATTAAAAAAAATCTATAGAAAAATATCCTCAGGTGAGAATTAACAACAACAAAAATACAATAATCCTGCAAAAAACAGAATTAAAATGCTCCTTTTGTAAATGAGGATTGGGAAACTAGACCAGGCTCACACAGCCATAGAGTGACAGGATATATGTCCAAGTTCTTTAATTAATTTGTAGTCCTACAGAAAGAGGGGGGTCTTCTTTTACCACCTATACTCCCTACCCTTAGCACAAGGAATTCAAGGGCCTGTGCACTGGATCAAGGTTAATGGACTGACTGTGGGAGAAGACAACAGAAACCACCTAAAGTAGCTAGCAGGGAGGAAGTATTTAATACTAGTTTCTACTCCCTTCTAGGGACACCAAAAAGGGATACGTACCTACCAAGCCAACATTTTGACTTGAGAACCTTGAAAAAGGTACAGAAACCTTGTAAAAGGTAGAGAGAAAAATCATCCCTGGGAACCCAGTGTTTTAATTTATACATCCAATAGGTCATGTGCTTTCCTACTTACCACAATTTCAGGGTCCAATGCTATAGAGAGACCCCAATTTTCTAAAGATAAAGCCCTTAATCAACATCTAGGATGTGTTTCACTTTCTATTCTGGCCCAGCTTTGTTCCAGCTGAGTAGGATTTGTTTTTTTGGTTTGTTTTTTTTTTTCACTTAATTGTGTCAACTACAACTACTGCTCTATTACTTTCCTTTTAATAAATTTTCCACTGCTAACCATTAAATAAAAATGAAAGTAAATTCTTAGAGCCCAGGACCTCCTTCTCCCTGCTCTTAGCTCCAGCTACCCTACCATTTCATTCTTTCAGTTCCTCAAATGCCAAGCAAGCTATTTTCTCAGCCTTCACCACTGTTCCCACCCTAGCCCTCGCATGTGGCATGTATTATTCAAGGAAACCTCTGACCCAGTCACAGCACCTTGTACACCTCCCAATAACTGTAATTCATTCATCTGATTATCTATTTAGCAATTCTGTCTGCCAAACCCTCTTCTAGTTGCTAGGCATTCCAAGAAGAACAAAAACAGGCAACGTCTCTGCACTGCATGGTGATAGCATTCTGAGGGATGAGCATTCAAGTAGCACTGTATTTGACAACTGCCCAACAATTTGTATAATTCTTTTTAAAGTATTCGTCACCCGTGGTTAGGGTACAGAAAGTGAAACAGGAAACGAGTGAATCTACTTTATATTGTTAGTACCAGCCTTAGTGCCAGGTAAATGTGATCACTACATATTTAGTGAAATATTACTAATGGTAACAGCATTAGAGCCTTAAGGGGGAATGGGGCAGAAATTCATGCTTGAAAACTCCACAATCATGATTCCAGGGTGATCAGAAAATTAAGGGGTTTAAACACATATAAAGACATAAATATCTATAAGGAAAAGCCTAATAGCAATGCCTACCTCATATATGCTAAAGATAACTTTCATATGTCTGGTAAGATTACTTGAGAAATAAGAAAAGAATGGTAACAGACTACCTTCTAAAAGTAACAAAAATATTAAAATTGGCATTTAATACAGCATTAGAAAACCAGAAAGAGCGAGCCTCGAAGATGAACAAGACCATCACTTCTATCCCTCTCCCTACATCAAAAGGCCAGGAAGGCTTCCATGCCCTCCAGGAACGTGGGCTTGAAATGGTACTGTGATGAGAATTGCAAAGAATACAAATAAAAATGCACACCACCCATAAAAATGGAGAAGTAAAATAACAGAGAACAGAAATCAAGAGAGACAGACCTATACCAGATACACCCAGGTCCAAGCAGAACTTTGCCTGTTGCTGTTGACACACACAGCACAAGCAAGGTGGAAACAGAAACATGACGAAAGGATGTGTGAAACAGAACAGCACAGGGTTTTGGAGCATAAAGTGTTAAAATGACAATATAAATAAGGGGAAGAAAGGAGAAAGATTTTACTTGCCACTAGTAATAAATGAGCTCTTTTCCTAAAGTAGTAACTTCTGTAAACAACTGAAAAACATACATAATAATCACAAGTTATAAATGTTCTTGGAAACTCCCTGGTTTCAACTAGTCTAAGACAAATATCTGCTGAGGGACCTCAGCATCTGCTATGTTCAGGGAAAAGTAATTCTAACCAATGGAGTTGTGCCAAAATATCACCCTCGGGGTCTGACCAATTAAATGGCTGCTTCTTAGTGTGAAGTTTAGGGGAGATGACAGATTGAACATGGCAGCAGAGAAACCTACACATTTAATTTCAGCCCAGGCATTTTGCCCCAAAGGATGAGTCAATCAGGAAAGAAAGCAGTTCAGAGTAAAATCTCCTAACAATGCTGAAAACAAAATAAACGGACCTGCAGTTTAATTACCACAGGATCCTTCTTCCATCAAAACTGATGAGAAAGCTCATCAAGAATAAAGAGACTCTGATCCCCCTCATACTCTCTCGTGTGGGAAACAGGACTTACCAGATAAGCTTTTATGGACCTTCTGAGGGAAGAAGCTGCTTTCACGAGATATTATCACAGTGACTGACTAATGGGTAACTAGGATAAAATATGTTCATGAGCTAGGGACTAGGGGAGAGGATTTCTGGCACTCCTATGCCCTAGGAAAAGGCAACACTTCAAGACAGGCATTCCGTCTAGGATCAACATTAGGCGTTTTACCTTTCCATGTGTACTGCACGAAAGTTACTGTAGACAAATGAGCTGTGGTGTAGAGAATGAACAAAGACTTTAGATTTTGATCGTAAAGCCTAGCACATAATAGATGCTCAATAAAAGTTGGGGGGAGGGGGGGACATGCAGGAAGCAGCCAGTATCGATATTCTCTCTCATCGATGTTTCCATTTCTCTCTCCCTCTCCCTTCCTCTCTAAAATCAATAAAGGGAAAAAAATTAAAAAATAACAACAACAACAAAAACATTGGCTATAAATGACTTCAAGAAAATCATTTTTAAGATTCTTTAAAGTGACAAAATTTAATTGCTCTATCCTCTACTTTTTTATTAGACTGATACCTTTAATCAGACTTAATCTGTTTTCCAATGATGTTCCAAGAACTAAATGACTCCAGGCCCCTTCCACCAGCTCTTAATTTTCTAATCCCCGAAGAACTCCTCTCAGAGGTAGTCATAAGTGTTTTTGCTTTTGTTTCATTTTTTCTTAAAGAGAGAGAGAAACATTGATTTGTTGTTCCACTTACTTAAGCATTCACTAGCTGCTTCTTGTATGTGCTCTAACTGGATATCGAACCTACAACCTTGGTTACCAAGACGATGCTCTAACTAACTGAGCTACCTGGCTAGGGCGAGAAGTGGTTTATCCTTGATGCAACCCTAGGCTGTTACATTTCTTCCCAATTCTACCCCACTGCTAAGGTATTTGTCATTTTTCCCACAGTCCAGCCAGTTTAAACTTTTTCCCTTAGTTCCTCAACCCCTCTTGTCCACCAATTCAGATAATTGAACCCATATACCTCTGCCCCCCACCTGGTGCTCCATAACTGCTTGCACTGCACTGAAGTCAGATGGGATTTTGTGATAAATCCAGGGTAAATTCAGACTACCCACCCCCTTCCTCCCACAGACCTTTGGCTTGGTTTGATGTGTGATCTCAATCTGAAAATCATGCTGACTTTCTGAAATGTTTTCTGCTCCTGCCAGAATGTGTGATGCCTACCTAGTACCTATCCCAAGAAGCAGAAAGAGATTTCTAAGTTTGCCTGTATCACAAAGAAAACCTCTGTATTCTCACCATAGTCTCTCCTTGTGAACACATGTGCTTAACCTGGTCTCTGAGTTTTACTCTTTGCCTATATGTCCCACAACAAAGTGCAAACTGGCTCATCTTTTCCACTCCTTTTTTCCTGAGAAAAAAAGACACCTGGGGGAAAAAAAAGGATAACTGTGCTGATACCCGGAAGTAATGCTATTCTCATCAATGTTGAAATGTGCTACTACTTTACCCATTTGCTTCTGAAATTATAATGTGAAAGCATAGCCCTCTTTGCAATGTGGCAAGGATACAGAACATACAAAACATAGGACCCAGACCTTTACATGACCCATATTCATTAGCTTATGGTTTGAGAGCACCAGAATGGACCTGTTCTGAAATAACTGAAGCAGTTATACCCACTAAGATCCCAAGATTACTCCCCACAGGTACTTATTCTATAACCAATCCAGTCTCCTGGTGAATATAACAAAGCAGATTTCACAGTGGGAAACAATGAGGAATGGGAGTGGGAGGGTCAGAAAATGGGGGTTTCTAAGACTGTTTACCAGCTGAATGACCCCCAAGCAAATCACTTATTTAATCTCTTCTACAGAAACTTGCCAAGGGGTTAAACAGTTCAGCAGTTAGCATTAGATTTTCAGCCTTCAACACTCAAGGAAATTTTCAATTCAAAGACTAAAATCAGAGTAATTTGTAAACTACCTAATTTAGGAATTTAGGAAACACTCAAAAGATATGCTAGAAATCCTGGAATCCAACATAAGGAACCTATAATTTAAAAGGATGATAAATTCTAGGCTAAGATCTATTGCTTTTTTTTTTAAAGCCAAGCACAGCTTGAATCCCACAACTACCAAAACAAGCAGATCAGCAGTCAATTCAGTGGTTTCATGTTGTAAAACATATGGACGTAATAATGGTGTAAGCTAGGAAAATCCATCATGCATCACCATCAGGAAGAAAAAAAGGCCTGATCCCTAGAAGAAAGATGTATATCTGTATATAGGCAAGGGCAGTAAAGGACTAATTGCCTTAGCTCCTTTTCAAACCAGAAACAGAGACTTCTTCACTCACACTCAAACATTCAAAGTCTTTTTTAACCACAGCAAGTTTCAAAACACAGGTACACACATTACAGTAAAGACAAATACATCCTGTTTGCACTTGACTTCCCGTTCTGGGCTGTTTCTATACACTGCTGCTCCCTAGCCACAGACAGGTAGATAAACTTTCATAACTACCAACAAGGAGGAAAAATCTGGACAGTATTTCAATGACAATACAACACATTATTCTACGAGTCAGGTTAAAACAGTCACCTAAAAAGCACCAAAAAACAATCATGGGCCTCTCAGTTTCTAGATTTCCCATGCCTCTACTAACATCTGACCAAGAATAAACAATAAAAACACAAAAAGTGCTGAGAGAAGAAAATTAAGGCTGAAACAAAACTTAGAATATAAGGGCGGGGGGCGGGGGGGGGGGGGATGGATGTTTTTATCATTAAATGTTGGCTTCCTTTCAAATGTAGAATGAACAGATTTCTGTCAGCCAGTCCCCATTGAGCAGATTGCCAGAAGGGAACCACCCAACCTGCTACCAACTAGAGTCTACTTTTCAGCACTGCAAAAGCATTCAGTTTTGGAGACCAAAGCCTCCACTTCAAGTGAAACTTCCACTGCTTTCAAAGAGCTAGCAGTTCCCCCAAATCACATGCAGCACTGGGAGTAAACCCTAGACAATGAATACCCCAGTGTTTATGGCATTGTCATTCAGCCTCTGGGTTTGTTTTCTCATCTGGAAAATAGGAGGGTTGGACTACACTAATCTGTAATGTTTCTTCCAGCTGTAGAAAAAATTCAGGGATTCAGCACTAACAGTTAGCAGAAGCTTCTGTGGTTTCCTGCGTTATTTCTATTGTCAAATAGGATGTCTCTAACATCCCACATCCCATAGTGTGAATATATGCATTGATCTACCTTCCAAGTACCCAAGGATTTTGTCCCCCTTTCCCTTGAAATGTAGATCAGAAAGTTTCCCATTTGAAAACAAGAGACTAACAAACCTTAAGGATTGTTCTTTACACATGGTCTTTTTATTAAGATCTTAAGGCAACCACGCTGGTCATATGATTCCTAGGGAGAACAGAGCCACAAAAGGATGGAGAAAATCTGACCAGGAGCACTCCCACACAGTGACTGCTACTGGGAAAAGAATGAGACAAAATCTGGGTAAGAGTGGTGAAGACAAGTACTATGAGTCAATGCAAGAGAAAGCACAGCAAGTTAAAAAAAATAAATAAATAAAAAGGAGGGGAAGAAGAAAAGCAAAGAAGGGAGAAGTAATCTAAACCAATGAGCAGAAAACTTAAATCTGAAATTCTGCTTATTCATTCGTTCATCCAACAGATATCACATGCCCACTATGTGCAGACACAAGAGGAGATACAAAGGTCAACTAGACAGATCTGCACAACGGAGGTTATGGTCTAGTAAGAGAAATAAAGGCATGTATGCAAACAACTGAAAGATGTGGCAGAAAGTGTATTGTGCCATAAAAGAGACATAAAAGAATCCTTTACTGTGAGACCCAGAGGAGAAAGTGGTTACTCCCAATGAGGGATCAGACAAGGAGCTTCATAGAAAGAATGACATTCAAAGCCAAAAACACAACAGAACCAAGGACACCCAAGTAGGAAAATCAAGGACATATAGGTACAGTGAATAACTGGGTTTGATTTGAGACATAAGTGGGCACAAAGGGAGGGATGGTAATACTAATAACTAGTGATTCAGAGAGCCATGGCTAAATTGAATAGCTGGATTGGAGCCAGACTAAGTATTTCAAAATCAGACCCATAATTTGCATTTAAATTCAATGGAAAACGAGGCAGAGGATAGGGGGAGGCTGACAAATTAGGAACCGGAGGAATCTTATAACTTAACCCATAAAATTAAGATAATAAAATCAACACAAAACCAATGTGTACAGATATATAAAGTCCCTCTAAGCCTTAGAGTCTAAGGAGATACAATGTCTTCCAATCCAAAAATAAGCAGAGAGAAAGACAAAACAGCTTGGATGATGGTATTAATATATTTAAACAAAGAATATGACTACATCCCCCTGGCTGGTTTGGCGCAGTGGTTAGAGCGTCAGCCTGTGGTCGCCCTGGTTGGAGTCGTGCGGGAGGCAGCCACTCCATGTGTCGCTTTCATGTCGATGTTTCTCTCTCTCTCTCTCACTCTCTCTCTCTGTCTCTCCACCCCCCCCCCCCACACACACACACACACACTCTATCTAAACAAAATGGAAAAATGTCCTCGGGTGAAGATAAAAAAAATTAAATAAAATAAAGCACAAAAGTTAAAAACAAAAACAAAGACAGAGGAGGCCCCTTTGACCCCAGAATCACCCAAGCAGAGAAATACTGGAGCTAGGTAACACACCATCTTCTCTGCAGTGGGGTAAGGTTCTTTCATGAAGCTTAAATGCAAACAGCATACAGTAGCAGTTAGGGATATGGGTTAAAGAGTCAGAGGGACTTGGTACCCATCTTAGTTCAGCCTCTTACCAGCTTGGAGACAACCTTGGTTTCCTCATTTGTAAATTGAAGAGTATGTGCCTACTTTGCAGGAGGACCACTGGGAGAATTAAATGTCCTACTGTATGCAAAGCACTTAGTACAGTACCTGGCATATAGTAAGCAATCAATAATCTTCACTTTTGTGTAACTGTGTCCTTCCCCACAAACTATTCTACCATATTATTCTATGCTCACCAAGCAAGCTTGATATCATTACATTTCATTTCTCAGATCTCTTGATATAGAAAACAATATCCTAGCAAAATCCACAATCCTGTTACCAAGAAAGGAATCTTTCACTCTAAAATAATAAATTGGCATTTCTTTCTGAGCACTGTCACTCAAGTCTAAATAGAATCCTGTCTCTAAAAGACTGATCATTTTCAGGTGCAAACAAAATACATATTATGACTTAAGAACCAGACCTAAAGCACAGTAACCAAAAATTCTCAGGGGTCTTCCTGACAAGCTGGTCATTAGGCCAGCCCTACATAATGTCACCCTCAATCTACAACAAGCCAATATGGATAATACTTCACCTTCCACCTCTGTCAGACCCTTCAATCATGTGCTCTGGTCAAGAACTTTTAAAATATATATATATATTTGTTTGCCCTGGCCAGTTTGGCTCAGTGGTTAGAGTGTCGGCCCACAAACCAGAGAGTCCCGGGTTCGGTTCCCACTAAGGGCACATAACTTGGTTGCAGTTTGTCCCCAGCCCCGGATGGGGTTGTGTGGGTGGCAACCAGTCGATGTGTCTCTCTCACATTGATGTTTCTCTCTCTCTTCCTCCCTCCCTCCTGCTCTATCTGATCTGAAGATTAAGGCAAAAATGTCCTCGAGTGAGGATAAAAAATTAAAATATATATATATATATATATTTTTTTTTATTGATTTTTAGAGAGAGAGGAAGAGAGAGGGAGAGAAACACAGATGCGAAAGTGAGCTTCCTCCTGTACGCCCCCCCTACTGGGGTCAAGCCCACAACCCAGGCATGTGCCCTGACCATATACCCTGACTAGGAATCGAACCAGCAACCTTTCAGTGCAGGGGACAATGCCCAACCAACTAACGGAAAGCCACACTAGCCAGGGCTATGGTGAAGCACTTTATCTCCCTCTCTAACCTTTCTAGAGGTCAAAGATCCCATCTTATCCATCTTTTATTCTTTCCTCCATATCCCAATATACCTTGCATCAAACAGAGCCATAATAAATTTATTGTAAGAATGAATTTAAAACATAAATTTTCTTAACAACACAATACACTGCAATTTGTCATTCCTGCACCATAGGGCCCTTTCTGATTTACTGAACTCTATTCTATGTTTTCCTTCCCCTTTTCTCCTTCCCTCCCCAACCTTTCCAACACCTGAGCGACTAAGTATTACAGAAAGTCAGAACACTATTTTATTTACGGGGTTCCTAAACAAATTCATACACTGGAACGGAGCCATCATTGGGCTTAGAAATCTTTTATTCACCTGTAGTTGATGTTTCCACATCAACTTTCCAATGAGCACCGTTGTTATACACGGTTTAGCACATGGGGCCTGGGGTCAGAACTCAGTCTTCCCATGTGACTTTAGTCACGGTGCTTAATTTAACCTAAACTTCATTTTCCTAGTCTATAAAACAGAGTACC